GCGGCTCGTCTGGTCTTCAACCTTCCTAAATTCTCCCACACCACGCCGCTCCTCCGCTCCCTTCACTGGCTTCCGGTAACTGCTAGAATCCACTTCAAGACACTGGTACTTGCTTACCATGCTGCGAATGGATCTGGCCCTTCGTACATCCAGGACATGGTTAAACCGTACACCCCAGTGCGTGCACTACGCTCTGCATCAGCCAAACGGCTCGCTGCACCCTCGCTGCGAGGGGGACCCAAGTTCCCATCAGCAAAAACACGTGGGTTTGCTATCCTGGCTCCAAAATGGTGGAATGAGCTCCCCATTGACATCAGGACAGCAGATAGCTTACACACCTTCCAGACTGAAAACGTATCTCTTTCAACTCCACTTCGAGCAATAGAACTATTAACAGAGCACTTATATACTAATAAAGGACTGGCTTACCTAAAGCTAGTTGAGTAGCACTTGAAATGTTTTGCTCTATGAAACCTGATGTACTTATATGACTCTGTTTTCTTCAAGGTTGTGTCTTGTTGGTCGAACGCACTTATTGTAAGTCACTTTGGATAAAAGCGTCAGCTAAATGCAATGTAATGTAATGTAAGTGTAACAATCAAAACAAGTTGTGCACACTAAAATGACACAAAAATCATCATTATTTAAACTGACACTCAAAGAGCAAAACCTCAGCTCAAATATCCAAAACTCTAAACACATGTTCAGCTCTGCACCCAATTTGCAATTCAACTTTCCACTTTTTAAAAGTAAAAATATAACAACAGTATATTTGTGTTTCTGCACATATTTTGGAGACTTGAACAATCTTTATTTGCAGAATTCTCTATATCAAACGCCATAAAACAGTGTGCTTGAGCACGATGGTGTGTAGTTGGTTTTACAAAATGTCTTGTACTATGAATGAAGTGTGTGCCATTTGGTGCAACAGTTTGGTTTTGGTAAGTGTTTCTGTAGTTCTGGGTGCAGTGCTTAAGTCTGCAGTATATATGAAGTGTTTTGCACTTTGTGTGTATGGTTTTGTGAATGTGTTTAGTGTTTTGAGAAAATAAGCCCTGCTTTCAAAAAATGTGTTTTAGCATTGAAAAAAACTGTAATATGAACACAATGTTAATCTCTCTGTTATGTGAGGTGATCTCTGCAGCTTACAGTTAAAGAAGCATGTACTTGTTTTTCAATGGGTAAATTGGAAACCTGTAATAAATATAATACTTTGCCCTTTCAATTGTTTTTTTCAAAATGTATTTACCCAAGCTTAATCAGTCTGAGCTGCAGTGCCAGTCTCTGGTTCAATCAGTCCTTCTTCTTCCCCAGTGGCTCCCAGGACTGGTGTGGGCTCTTCTAAAGATGGTATATCAGATACCATGCTGTAGAGATCAAGTTGTGCGATGGATGACCTTTTTCTGGCGCGTAAACTTACAACTGGCATGTGTAGCAGGGGAAGGTGCTGTAATTTTCTCGTGGCCCAATTTGACAGACGGTGCCCAGTCAGGATGATTTTTGTCAACAAGTGCCACTTGTAGGTCAGTTATATCCTGGGTGAACTGTTAATTAATACAAATTTGACCTCTTTTGACAGGACAAGTCAGACTTTAGATATATTTAAAATGCTGGTGTCAAGACATTGGAACATGACAAATAATTGAGGAAACCAAAAGCCTCTGAAAAGGTGCCAGGGACTGTACAGCCTTTACTGTTTACATATAATCAAATGGCCAGTAGGGGGAGGAATTACTTTAAATTACAGTTAAACGAAGCACTGCAGGGGATTGACAGACTGGTGTGAAGATGACCAAGGGATGACTTTACTTTGTAGATACTCCACAATCTGATATGTCGATCGATGACAGACTCCAGGATTCCTATTTCCTTGTTAAGATCCATGTCTTAGTACGTGGGTTATATGTTCATTTTGAATGTTTGTATGTAAAACCCGACACTTACCTGACGTGAAATTATCCCCACAAACGCGAGTATAGTTGTGGTTGGATGGTTTGAGATCCTCCCGAAAGTTCATGTGTTGCTTCACCCTGGTGTGTTATAATAACCGCCGGCAGCCTGTAAAATGACTTCGGCCCCCTGTTTCGATCACCTCTGTTGCCGCAGCCAACAATGGCACAGAAGTTAACCATTGTATGTCCGGTAAAAAACAAACATTGAACAGGTATGACTTATTACGGTGTCTGTTTTGGTAATTCAGTATGGCCGTTGCGCTGACCGTGACGTCATATGCAAAGCCTCTATACGTCCTTTCTTTTGGGTCGGGGGTGTGGTGGTCAATGTAATAACGTAACCAGATGAGTGATTACAGCACCCGGTATCATTTTACACACATTTGTATCATACAGATGCAGGACTTACACACGCCTGTTATCTAACCGACAGGTCCGCACGCACTCTCCAGCCCAAACTCTAATAAGCATTCATTCACAAACTAAATCAGGAGACCTTTAACGTTTTACTTCCGATTCGCTCCTTTTTTCCTCGCTGTACACAGCTCCAGTTTGGGCATTGGCCTGTCATCAGATTGTATTTGTTGTTGCTGCTGTAGCGGAAGTTTAGTACAATTATTGTTGATTAAATACTCCAAATCTCCACCCTCCATAATTGCACTTGCTTCAGTTGCTTGCTACTTTTTAACGGTGGTGAGAGTGGTGCAGTGACTCTATATCGATTAGATTTATGATTCGAAAATTATAAAAGTAGGATAGACATGTGGATATTATCCGACTGAACAAAACGTGCATTTATCTAACAGGTTCGTTTTCCACTGACCTTATTTCGAGCTATTTTCCAAAATCCTATGGAGAAATCCCATTGCCTTTTTGTCGAGGGAAACCGAGCGCAGCTTACTTCCGGGTTTTAGGATGCGTCACTGCAACACTAAGTTGATGCGATTTGATTGGATTGTGAGGCAAGGGAAGCCAGCTGCCTCTGGCTTCCCTTGGCATGGCCCAATCACAGGTTGGCTGGGGCATGACGTGAGCCTTGTCTGATTGGTCAATCCCTCCATTTTTTTTCACCAAGGGAAGCCAATTTCGGCTGGCCTCCTCTCGCAACAGTGAGTGCAATCTATTGTTTCACCATAACATCTAGAGGGGCGCTGTTTCACTCTTTGTAAAATACTCAATGAGAATGGGGGAGAGACCATGGATGTATAATAAGAACTGGATACAGCGTGGGAGGCGGGGCCTCATTCATTCCTATGAGAGTTGCTCATTAGCGCATGATGACAAAATGGCCCAATTTTTGAGAGAGCGAAACGTCACAGATTACCAGGCATGCCTGAGAAGTACCCGTATGTGCGCTCATAGCGCATGCGCAACTTTAACCACGCCGCCCAAAAGGCTCGTTCACATTAAGCACGTGAATTTACGTACACGTAACAGCACCGCGCGTTCATGACAGCATGGTACTGGATTTATATTAACGAGGCGGCAGTTAGCAGCTAGCTAGTAAATGATGCTAACTTACACATCAATCGTTATGTACTTTTATATTACGCTGAAATCAGGATCTAGTGATATCCAAGCAACAGAGCTTCATTTAGCATGATACTTGTGTACATGAAACCACTTGGTAATATATACAAATGTATATGTTGAAGCCTGTTATGATCAATTGTGAGTTAAAACTTTATCTAAAAAGTAAAGCTGATGATGGATTACTGTGGTGGAGTTAAAATAACAATATCCTATTTCTTTTTGAAATGTGATGGAGTAAAAGGATAGTAACTGTGATTATTCATGTTAAGTAGCCCACAAGTAACTAAAACGTATAATACTTGAAGGAAAAGTGTAAAATGTTCCCATAAATACCAATATCACAGTACAACACCCCTTGTTGTTAAATACCAACCATGTGTATATATATATAAATATATATATATAAATATGCCGCTAAAACTGTGTAATATACCAGGCTGCTAAATCCTCCAAACTGTTGTTGCTGGATGTGTATTTTGTGAAATGTGTATTTTTTTTAAATTATAATTTCTTGTTTTGAATCTTTAATACTTTTTTATGCATACTTTAAGTAACATTAGGCTGTCTTTGGCTCTTTTCTGCTGTAACAATGTAAATGTATTCTGATCTAATTGATGTTTTTGTCAGTTTGTTTCCCTATATTGCGACACTTATTTGGTTTAAGATTATTTCTCCTTTTTTTACAGACATCCCCAACCATAGTGGAATGCTGTTGTAAAGGATTGCATTGATCCGTGCATCAATACCTTCACCCAGCTTCGAGGCCTCCAATGAATGAACATCATCTTGTGGCTGGGAAAAAAGTGAACAAATAAATCTCACAAAGAGTGACTTTCTGGTGTAATCATTATAATATCAAAGACAAGCACTTTAAGTAACAATATATAAAATCATTCAGCAGCAGAGGATGGGGTGGAAACAGCATTTCTAACTAAGATGATTACAATATTACAAGTTAAACATCAAGATGAACATACTATTATTAATTTAAAAAGTACATGGGAGACTTAAATATCCTGCAATATACCATTAGCAGAATTGGAACAAATGTGCCAAAACATTTCTAAAATAAACATAAACTGAGGGCTTTCTTCCTGAGCCGCTGGGAGTAAAGGTCCTCCATGGATGGCAGCTCCGCCCTGGTGATGTTCTGTGCAGTTTTCACCACCCTTTGGAAAGCCTTACGATTGAGGGCGGTGCTGCTGCCGTACCAGGCCGTGATGCAGCTGTGTCCGTGATGGACACTGAGGAACCTGAAGCTGCTGACTCTCTCTACCGTAGTCCCATTGATGGCGATGGGGGGCGTGTCCCTCTCTTTGCTGCTTCCTGCAATCCACAATCAGCTCCTTGGTTTTGCTGACGTTGAGATGGAGGTTGTTATCCTGGCACCAAGATGTCAGGTTTTCGACCTCCTCTCTGTACGCCGTCTCGTCGTCTGGGTGAGGCTGGGGAAGATGAGTGAGGGAAAGAGGGAAACAAAACAGGGGGACTAAGATGAGTGAGGGAAAGAGAGAAAAAGACAAGGGGACTAAGATGAGTGAAGGAAAGAGAGAAAAAGACAAGGGGACTAAAGTTTAAGAGAGAGGAAGAACACAGAATGTGAGTGAACAATTTAATTAAATTACACATTTAAAAAAAATAGTGTGAGTAAGTGAAGACATCCTTACAAGGAGGACTGCCCTGTCAAATGTAAAAGTTATTCTTGTTAAATATACATATCCTGTTGAGGCTAGAATCCAAAATGCAGAACCACTTTAGATTGTAGCCTCAAGGGACTGTTTAAGGTTACTTAAAAACATATCATTTCCCAAATTGGTGAAATGAACTCCATCTCTTAGAAATATGCCACGGCAGTCAAACTTAATGCAAGGATGCCTTACACTCTACCCAAACCACTAACACATTTACCCATCTCTCTGTTCACCCACATTCTGGCCTTGTTCAGCTTTCCCGGATTGGCTTTCCTCCAGTGACATCTCTCATTGATAGAAGATGGAATTTTCTTCATCTCTGAGAAGTTGTCACTGAGGGAAAGCAGGTCCTGCTTCATCGCTGTGACAAGCTCCACACCTTTGATGTTGCCAAGGTCGTTGCCGCCACAGTGGATGAGCAGGACATCCGGGACTGTTCTTCCTCTCAAGGACTAATAGAAAAAGGGAAGAAGGTTCCTCCACCTCAGACCACCCTTGCCAAACCACCACACACGGCAATTGAGACCCAGGTTGCTTCCCATGGTGTGTCTGGCTCTTTCTTCCCCACGTCTAACGTAGCTGCTCCTTATTATCCACACATTGGGACCTAGATAGAATAAAATATATTGAAAAAGGAAAAAAAAGTGTTTACTGGTGATCATCTTTTAGAAAAAGGTGGTACATGTAGCCTGAGTTGTCATATCATTTTCATCATATTTTTAAGACTACACAAGTTTAATTTGTATATTATATTACATATAACTCTATACTTGTATATAGAATCATGATGAAACTTTATAAGGATTAAGATTATATATTAATATTACATTAAATAATCCATGACGATTTCATGCATTATTACGAAGCAGGATGTATCAAGTCACTGACTTTTTGTGATAAGATCACAATCAACTGATTTCACTTATCAGATGTAAAAATAAGGTACAATATATTTGTTTTTGCCATATGAAAGTAAAGGGTATGCAATCAAAAAATTACTGAAACAAAATGAATAAAAATTCTTATAAAAACGATACAGCACCTTGTCCAAGTATGGCGGGAGGCCCACTTTCCTCAGGATTTCCTCTCTGGATGTCGATCCGGCTATTTCTGCCATCTATAAATAAAGTACAAATGATTAGCTCTTCATGCCTCTTTAAAATAATATGTGTTCTTGAAGATTCTGTATGCATCGTCGTTTATAATGGTAGGGACATTGCATTGGAAATTAGTTGTGAAAAAGACATGTCATTTTTTGTTTTTTCATCTCACATTTATAGATTTTAAATATAAATATATATATATAAATCGAATTATAAATGCAAAGTCTGGTTTCTAGAAAGTTAGCTAATGCATACAGAGTTAACATTGCAGAACTGCTGGCATGCATACATTTCTAGCATTTTGGTTAACTATGAAAAGTATGGAAAAATACTGTGCAAACACCCAACATTAGCTTAGCCACAGTAGCGGTTGCTGATGAGTGGTTTGGCTTATTTTACTCTTTTATATGAGAACATGTTACATTACATACAGACATTAAGGAGGCAGGTTAAAAAATAAATATGTTTTCGTATCTTACCTTTTGGAGCAAACTGTTGTCGGTTGTTAGCATAGACTGTATATATAAAGCGTTGTCTCTTTAGCCTCAGTGACGTGTCAGTGAACACTGAACGTGACCGCGTGTGAAGGGGGAGGTGCTGAACACGTCACATCACATGAACGTGCCGGGCAGCGCGGTCCCGTGGGTTAGATGCGCGTTCATAATGCCGAGGGAAATAACTATCAGAATAACGTTATTAGCACATGTTTACAACTTGAGGAACGAATGTTTTTAATAAGGGCTATACAAGTCTTCATACTGGGTTGTTTATTTAGTTTAAAAAAAATTATCCAACGAGTTACAGACCACTCTTTCCCCATGTAAGTCAATGGGAAAAAGTGTTTCCGGGCCCAGCAACCAAACGGAAGTGTAGTACCGCCGTTTGACCACTACGAATATTCTCATCAGACTCCGGCGCACTGCAAGAGGGCTGTCTCTATATGGCGTTATATTTGTGCCTCTATCCTGAGCACGCAATGAAACATGTTGAGCATAGAAAATGCTATTGAGCGCGCACTTGAACAGTTTTGAGCACAGAGAAATATATGTTCTCTCATAAAACTCCTGCTCCGTGCGCAAGCAGACCGCTGCACGCGCTCTCTCTCCCTCGCTCGCTCGACCTCTCCAGCCTGTGCGCGCTCAGCTTTGCCTGCGCTCGCTCAAGTTGTCACAGCGTTACAAATGTGCCACAAAACCAACCAATCGGAGAACTCAAGAAGGTCAATTCTGATTGGCTGGTCGTCTCCAATCATATCTTCTATCTGAGATGAGAAAGGGATTTTCGGTTGCCATCAGGCTGTTGACGTTCTTATTACACATCCATCGTTGACATTTACAGGACATGAGAGACTTGAATGAAGAGAATAGCACGCCAGTGTCAGGTGAGTAATACATTTCTAGTTTTCTGATATCACGTTATTGTTTGCAATGCCTGAGTTTGCTAGCCGGCAACATAGCTATAGGGGTAGTTTAAGCAAACCGCTAACAAACCGTAGCATACATGTAGCTACATGAACCCATCGGAGGTATTGATTACTTGCTGTAAGCATTAGAGGTGGCAGAATGACAAAACATGTTTCTCTCTCTATCACAATGTTGGGTTGACCAGAACCTGGACCAACTTATGTTTCCTGTTCTACAAGGGGCATATGCTTGCGTTAATTTTCAACCGGAAAGATGAGGCTAGGATACCGGCTAAAGTTAGCAACACACGTTAACCATGAACAGCCTATTCATCCGTTCTCTTAATGTTATTTCTTCCAACGTTGTGGAATTAGAGAAAAGGGGCTTCTTAACGTGATTTTATCCGGGGTGGAGGGAGTTAAATATTAGTTAAATATAACATTGGGGCGTGTGATTGTAGTGGGTGGAGAAATGAGGATATCCATCTTGGAGTTCAAGCTAGTATAATATAGTTAACGTTATACAATAATAAGGAAGAGAGCTATGTGTGTGATACATCGCTATTGATATGGATTTAGAGTGGATATTTGAGACTTCCAAACGGTAAACAAAAACGTAACTTATGAGTGAGTGTTTTTAGCAGAGCCATATCATGTCCTTCTGATTCTGTTGATTATTACCTGTCTGTATTATGTTGCAGCTCAGCTGATTTTGGATTGATGGCAAAGGGAGAGGGACTTAAGTGAGAGTGAAAACACAAGGTACGTTTAAAATAGGTCAGCAATTTCCCATCCTATAGGTTGCTAGATGTATCTAACCCTTTCTCCTGTCTCCCTCTCAGCACAAGAACCCCAGGGAGATTCAATGGAGCCTGAAGACCTGCACTGAGACCCTCACCCTGCACCTGAGTCTCAACTCCCAGAGCTTTGCAAGCCTCTCCCTGTTCCTTATTTTTGATTAAACAGACATTAAGCTTCCCAATGGTGTGGTCTTCGTTTTGTGAAAAATATGATTACCTCACATATGTTGTTGTTGTTGTTGTCTTTTGTGATAGTTAAATTGCTCCTGCTGACTTGAGCCAGCCATTCTTTCCTCCTCTCTGTGTCAGTGGGGAAACTTTGCATGTGTACTCCTTTCTCTGAGCGCTTGGAGCATCCCCAGGCAGCACAGCAAGCCATGGGGGAGACTATATGCCAGGACAACACGGAGGAAAAGGCACAGACAAACTGCATGCATGCTATTCAATGTTTATTGAATTCCATTTATTTACAATGGATGTTCCTAAAGCAACACATTTAACATCATCATCATCATCATCATCATCATCATCATGCTGCTGCTAGTGCTTTGACTCATTGTGCTGTCAGTTGACAATCATTGATAGGCACCTGTGGGTCTCCTGTCCTTTCTGAAAGTCATAAAGATTACATTAGTACTTTAGATTATTTGTGTCCTCAGCTACCAGGGGATTACTGAAACCACCATGAATTAAAGAAATGGTAGAAATTAATCTAAATCTGAATTTTGAAGCCTTCCTTCCCTCCCTCTAAATATATCAAACATTAGGAAGTGATGCTCCTGACTACCATTCAAGTTTAAGAAGATAATATTTGTTTTAAAGAATTCAAAGCAATAAACAACAGGCTCTTTAACCAAGGCAACGTTAGCCTAACATGTATGTTAACAGGTAAGATAGCTGTTCACACTATGTATATTTTCTACTTTCTACGTTGTAATGCTATGTTATTTCTATTTAAGATGTTTACATTTTCGATTGTTTAATTATAGTCTTTTAACTGTCTAATGTACAATGCCTTGTCTTTTGCTGCTGCAGCGTAAACATTTCCCCAATTGGTATCAATAAAGTAGGCTACTTCTTATTTTATCTTAATCCTCAAATATTAGCACATTTAAAAAAACAAAACACACTGATGTAACTACATACACATATCGATATGTTGTATAAATATTGCAAATCAAAACCTTTATTGACCACTAATTACCAAAAATTGCATTTCTATCCTGTTATTAATGCATTCAAATCGTGATTCAAATGGCCCGCCGGGAACTTTCTGAGTCTCTGAACCACGTGACGATCAAGCATTTTGGACTTCCGCTGTAGCAACTCTTCTCTCTACATGGCGCTGGACCAGCCAATCAGAATTGACCTTCTCGAGTTCTCCGATTGGTTGGTTTTGTGGCACATTTGTAACGCTGTGACAACTTGAGCGAGCGCAGGCAAAGCTGAGCGCGCACAGGCTGGAGAGGTCGAGCGAGCGGGGGAGAGAGAGCGCGTGCAGCGGTCTGCTTGCGCACGGAGCAGGAGTTTTATGAGAGAACATATATTTCTCTGTGCTAAAAAATGTTCAAGTGCGCGCTCAATCGCATTTTCTATGCTCAACATGTTTCATTGCGTGCTCAGGATAGAGGCACAAATATAACACCATATCTCTATATCGCATAGCCGCTCACGGGGGCTTAATCTGCGCGCGAGTCATTTTATGCGCGTGTAAAAGCACATTTTCCGCTCGTGAGTAGCTTGTTTTACGTGCTAGAATATTGACCCAAATCTGACTCCATACAATAAATCCTAACATTATTCTCATAAATTACCCTGTTCCTCAATCGCAAATAATATAAATGAACCACATGCCATCCTTTACTTTGAAATTCTCACCGGAAGTGTTCCTCGGTGGGATTTTCTGTAGCTTTAAAGTGGTCGAATATATAATACTGCACATACGAAACGTCCAGGGGGGTATACTACGAAGCAGGATTTTCGTTTGGCAAGATAACTTCTGGGATTTCCGGTACTACGAAGCTGGTTCACTTTTTAGCGGGCTAGATCTCCATGGTGACTTATCCTGGAACCTAGTCTGTGCTCCGAAGCAGGATATGTTCCAGGATAAGAGATCAACTCAGCGAAAGCACCATGCCTGCTGACCAATCAGAGCTCAGTGTGCGGAGGAAATACAGTTTAAACTGCGGTTGCAGGAAAGACGGCCGGCCAAAATCACCGACTGTGTGAACGTGAAAATGAATAGAATATCACCTCCCATCTTCAGAGCAATCGGACTATTATAACCAGGGCCGGCCCTAGACATTTTGGTGCCCTAGGCGAGATTATGATTTGGTGCCCCCCCCCCCCCCCTCCAAGCAATACACTAGAATATATAAAGAATAAATAAAAAATCTCTACAAAAGACCAATACACTACAAAAACAGAAACTTATTGACATAGGTAATATACATAAAGGTTTCAAATCTATTCATTATTGTATGAAAATGTTTTAATTGGGGGGTGGATGTCACATCCTGCTAAATGTTTTTTTTAACATTTTAAAGTAAAATGCTTCAATCTGGTGCACTTTCAGCAAACAATTACTAGAGACCTGATAGGAGGTACAACTCTAAAACACCCATATGAAAAAGATCGGTTTTCATTTTAATAACCAAATAAGTATGTGAACATAACCAATAATCCACAGCCAATAACAAATAAATGTAACATATTTATTTATTTTATCCTTATTATTAATATTGTAGTTATTAAATGAAAATCACTCATCAAACAAAAGTAGCTTCTCTTAAAACTTTAAGAAAAGAAAGTGCAAACGTGGACACAAATATACGGAAACTCTTACAACTGAGGTTATTGCAAATAAATTAAGATAATGAACAACATTACACACACTATAAATCAAATGAAACAGGCAATCACAACAACAAGTCTCTGCTATGTTATTGTGTCCTTTAATTAGTCCACATCCTTAAAGTCGGACACGTCTGGACTTCCTTGTTGCAAATTCATTTATTGTATCGTCAAATGATATTTGCCCCGAAACCTCGCGATTGATGCTTATTAAAGCTAATCCATTGAGGCGTTCTTGAGCCATTGATGACCTCAGATATGTTTTAATGAGCTTCAATTTGGAGAAGCTCCTCTCCCCAGCAGCAACTGTCACTGGAATAGTGACAGCGATCCTGAGGGCCACCCACATATTTGGATACACTTCATTCATTTTCTTCTCCTGTAGGAAAGTCAGAAGTTCCAGGGTGGTCATGTTGGCAAAGCTGGGAAATTCTGCATCTCCAGTGCAAGTTCCCTCTTATCCAGGTCTGACTGTCCACCCCAGCTCAGGGTGTTGCTGAGTGTTCACACTGCTTCGTCAGATCTTCCTTTGGCAGGTCAGGGAAGTTGAGTAGCACCCCAAACTTTTCCTCTACTTCACCTAAGCCCTTGAATCTCTCCTGCAGTGATGCAATGGAAACATCCGCCACCATATTGAAAAAAGAAACTTCGAGTTTCTTTAGTACATCACTCACTTGCTCCTCCGGGGACTCATAGGAGAACTGTCTCTTGGTTGTTCTCAGCCTCTTCTGCTTGAGAACAGCTTCCACATTCATTTGGCCACAGATGTCTTTGGCAGATGCTTGGGCAGAAGCAAATCCATTGCTTCTGTAGCTGACCAAAGAAACTTCTGTTTTTCTCAGGAGGTCAACAGCAATATCCAGCTGCATTGACACTGATTGCAACATTTTGCTGACATGTTTGATGTTGGTCAGGATGTCATACCATACCACAGTGCATATTGCAAAGCGGTATGATCCAAACTCTTCAGCCAAAGATTGTGCCTCAATTTTTACAACTCCATCTGTGGCTTTATCCCTCACCTCTAGAAGTGCATCTCTGACTTCTGCAGCCTGATACCTTACACGCAGTGACCACCAACTGGCGGCCCGCGGGCCACATCCGGCCCGCCAGACATTCTCATCCGGCCCGCACGACAGGGGTGACTGCGGCGCGGTTACTGTGTGCAGTACCGGAGTCCAACAGAGAGGCAGCAGCTGCGGGACAGTAGACTGCGTACTGCAAAACCTTCCCTGCCTTGAAGAAGAAGTGATCCTTCGTTGTGAAGAGTCTGGTTTGTGCGCTCCGCACCACAGCAGCAGCCCTGCTGCGACAGAGTCCAACAGAGAGGCAGGAGCTGCGGGACAGTAGCCTAGAAGCAAGGTTGGGTTGTAACGGAATACATGTAACGGCGTTACGTAATCAGAATACAAAAATCAAGTAGGCTAACTGTATTCAGCTAGCGTTACATTTGAAAAACGAGTAATCTGATTACAGTTACTTTCGTAAACCTGAAGTGAATACATTTTGGAATACTTATTGGAATTATTGGTGGAAAAATGTCCTCACAAAATGTAATATTCATTACCGGCAGAACTGTGTGCACACTGCACAGCGCTGCAGCATGTCTGTGAGCGAGAGAGGGATGCAGCGCGTCTGTGAGGCCCCGCCCCCGCACGCAGATGAGAGAGAGATCTCTTTTAAAATATATTGAAAGTTAGAAACGGAGATGGTTAGATAAAATGTGCAAGATAACGTTTATGTAGAATTTCTTTATTGTCGAAATGATGACATTTCATAACGGGATCAAATCAAAGTGAATGGCCTGCTGCTGCTGAATGCATGGGTCAAGTGACTGGAAAACGTTTAAAAAGTTATAACATCGTTTCAGATAATAAATAATAATGATAATTCATTCTATTTAGGGGCGCCTTTCAAAGCACCCAAGGACACCTTACAATTCATAACATATTCTAAGGAAAGGTTTTAAGTCAGTACAAAGAATGCAGTCCGGGTGATGTTTTTTATGTGGGGTGCAGATGAGAGGGAGCTGTCCAGAATGACACCAAGATGTTGTGGTTGAGTTCTTGATAAGCCATTAAAACAGTAAAATACGTGTCTCCTGTTCACCAAAACATACCCATCTGTTATGGAAAAAGAAAGTATTCTAAAAGTAATCTGAATATGTTAAAGTAGACCCGATTCCAACGTTTAAGACACGTAACTAACTGTATTCTGATTACTTTCAGAGCCATGTATTCAGTATTTAGTAACTGATTACAGAACACTCAATACCTCCCCCCCCCCCCCCCCCCCCCCCCCGGTCTACAACTTCAAAATTCTGGACTATATAAAAATCGCTGGCCCGCGATAGTGTCTATTGGATACATTTTGGCCCTTGGACAAATGTAGTTGGTGATCCCTGCGGGCTTACAGCCTCTATGCTGTTGATCCGACTCTCCCATCTGGTATCAGACCATGATTTCAATGTGATGTTCACATGGCTTTTTAGGATGGACCATCTCTGAGTGGAGGCAGAAAACAGTGCGAAAAGCTTCTGCAGATAGCCAAAGTAGCTAGTTGCTTCTGCAGAGCTTTTTGCTGCATCAGCTACCACCAGGTTCAATGTATGTGCTCCACATGGCACAAATAAAGCCCTTGGATTGATTTGAAGAAGTCTGGCTTGGACTCCTTTCCTCTTTCCTTTCATATTTGCACCGTTATCATAAGACTGCCCTCTACAGTCTTCAAAAGGGATATCAAGCTGTGCTAATCTCTTTAGAATCAGGGTTGAAAGGCATTCTCCAGTGGACTGTTCTACCTCAAGGAACCCCATAAAATGTTCTTTTATTTGGGGCGTGTCCTGGGTTGTAACTTGTCTAATAATGACTGATAGTTGCTCTGTATGGCTCAAATCTGGGGTGCAATCCAAAATAATTGAAAAGTATTTGGATTGTTTGATTTCATTGACCATATGGTCCCCAATCTTCCCACTGATGCAATCTATCAGTTCATTTTGAATTCTTTTTCCTAAATAGGAAATATTGGTGGTTCCTCTTTGGACCTCAGCAACATGCTGTTTGAGGACTGGGTCGAACTTCGCCATGAGCTCTACCTCCTTCAGGAAGTTGCCATATATTCTGTGGTCCCTCTAAAGGCAATGTTTCGCTCTGCCAACGACTGAATTATTGCCACCAATCTGGTCAGGACTTCACGCCACTTCTTCTTTTCAGCCTCCATAAGTGCCATTTCTACCTTGTCTATAGTTAGGCCCTTTTGAAGTCGAGTATCCAGTTCCTTCCACGACGTCATGTGCCTCGAGTGTTCTGGGCTGTTCTCATGTGTTTTTAGTTTGTCAGTGCAATTTTTCCAGTCATTTAGTCCACTGCTGATTAGTTGGTACTCTTTTTGGAAGAACAGCTTGCAGCAAAAGCAGTAAATACTTTTGTTTTTCTTGGAATACACAACCCAGCTCCTCTTGATTGTCTCTCCATTCACTAATCTTCTGTAAAAGTAGTGATGATGGCAACTTCTCCCGTCCTCCTTTTTAGGAAAAGTGAAGTCGGATTTTAAATGATATGGCCGTCGTCTGACTAACTCCATCCTCACTGTATCACTCAGTGCTGGCCAGTCAGCAGGATCTGAGGGGACTGCAATGTTGGACTCAGATGGGCCTGGGCAGTCAGCAGGATCTGAGGGGACTGCAATGTTGGACTCAGATGGGCCTGGGCAGTCAGCAGGATCTGAGGGGGCTGCAATGGTGGACTCAGATGGGCCTGGGCAGTCTGAGGCAGAGTCCTGCACGGGTCTGATTTTCAAGACCCGCTCCCGCCCCGCACCCGCGACGTGCAATACCGAACCCGCCCCGCTACCCGCTCATATTGCCAATTAGTTCCGCAACCCGACCCGACCCGTCGGCACAAGATCCCAACCCGACCCGAACCCGCATATATATATAGGCCTATATATATAGGCCTATATATATATATGAGCAGTGAAAGAATTTACAGAATTCACATGAGCACGATTAAAGGGAAATGGAGCTCCCGAGAGAGCGCTGCGCTGCCTTAAATACAAGCTGTAGGACTTTGAGGAGCTGTCCAGTAACACTTACTTAAAATAAACTATTCATTTGTTGCGTTTCCCATACATGTTCAGCTGGACGATGTATTCGAGCTTCTAACTTATGATGCAGAGAATCATGTAATTATGAATATACGCAGTTGCGTATTTCGCTCAAAAAGCGTGGGATGTTAATAATTACATAATAATAATAATAATCAAGTAGCCTAACCTACGACGTTTAAAGTGATAATTGTTGGCCATTTCACATGTGAAATTTGGATAGTATATTTTAAAACGAAGGTAGCCTAATCCAGGAAATACAATGTCTAAATTATGCCGTTCATTCCATTTAATTATTCATGTAGACACCTCCCAAAAAACGTGACTTATTAAAAACGGAACGTTATCATATTGTTGTGCAACAATCACGTGCATTATAATGCATTTTCATAATGTTACAGTCATTATGGCTGACGATATAAAACAAATTGAAGCCAACTGAAACCAGTGCAATTGCAACAAGGCGGCCGCGGCAGTCTGACACTTTTAAACTGTTTAGAACAGTCAAGCTGGCTAATGCCAAAACAACAGACATTTTTTAACAGACGTATAACTTTTTAGAGTCTGTAAAAGGTTATACGGATTATATAATATACGAAATATATACGTACATATAAAACATATAAAACGTACATATAAAACAACATATATTCCGTATAACACACTTTTTTTTAACAGACGTATAACCTTTTACAGACAGGCTGCTAACGCCATGTTCATCTCACAATTCAGTGTTTCTTTAGATTACTATGCAGAAAAAGAATGTCATCAACTGTCCCTGGTTTCAATTGGCTTCTCCTTTCTGAGACCACAAATCCAGCCGTGGAAAAATCTCGCTCACTCGCGGCGCTTGAAGCTGGAATGGAAAGAATCGAACGAGCAATGTGTGCCACATTCGGAAACCTGGTTGCATGCTCCTTCCACCAGCTGAGAACATCGAAATTCTCCTCCCTCGGTGACTTGAAGTCGATGTATGCGCTCACTTCATCCTGAGTGCACTCATCGCTGGAAGAAGAATCCTCGACGTCGGATAATCCCTCCGATTGTCTAGCTCTCTTCTCGGGCGGTGCTGAACTGACAGTGGCAACACGTTGTGTGGGCGATGCACGCCTCTCTTTTATGTCTAGAGGTGCGAATAGAGGGCGCAAGATTAAGCATATGCAATTTTTATAAACTTTACATATAGATTTCCTAATATTTTACATTTCATATTTTAAATGATGAAAACAGACAAGCAGGCCAATAAGCATATACATTACAGTAACAGTGGGCTATACTGTAACGTTAGGATAGTAACTTTTTTCCCAATTCTACCTCAATTTAATTTGAATACAGTATGAAATAAACTATGAGATCACTTGTATTTTCCTTCGGCCTTACCGTTCACAAGACGCCGCACTTCGTTGTGCACTGTTTCCATTGAATGTTCCTCCACAAGCAGCTTCAGACTTTTCAGCTTTGGGTGCAAAAACATGGCCAGTTTGTGCAGGAGGTGTATCTCGTACTTTTCAACCAGAATTCTGAGACATTTTGCCTTTAGAGAGGAGAATGTCAGGTTGTCAGTGGAGGATGGTTGCAGGTGGCGTTTGAGGCGATCGAGCCACACAGCGGTGAGGTGAAGGGTTGGAGTTTTGGATGCCTCCAGTGCCTTAGTAGCCTCCTTGAATCTCTGAAGAAACATCACCATTGCCTTCAAAGTGTCTTCGCTCAAGTCGTTCAGACGACCCTCTTCCCCCCTTTCCAACAGCAGTGCACGAACGTCCTCATATTGACAGCTGATCGACTCGAGCATTGTGTGGACTGAGTTCCAGTGCGTTTCCACTGATGCTTTTAACGTCTTTTTAAGGCGATTCTGGAGACTCGTTTGCTTAAAGTAAGTTACGAGTGACTTGCGTAGTCACTTCCTCTCCGAACGCATCTTCTTGGCTTGGTTTCCCGATCGTAGTGTACAGCACGGTGTTAAGGATGTGTGCAGCACAGCTCAGTCTTGTGACGGAGCGAAGGGCTGCCACTATGTTTGAACCCCTGTCTGTCACATACACCAGTTTGGTGAAGAAATCCTCAATGCTGTATCTCCGCAGGGCTTGGATTATTGCTGGTTTGATATTATCAGACGTTTTACGCAAGGTACTATCCCATTCCGACGTAGAAAGCACCCTTTCGACTAGCTCCCACTTGCTATTGATGTAATGTATTGTGTGACAAAGGTAGCTTATTTTCCGATAATCATCGGTCCACATGTCTAAAGTGACTGCTCCATTGTACTCACTCATCTGTTCTCTCAGCTCAGGAATTATGCTTTGGCGTATGTCTTCTGCATATTTTGTCACTCTGCGAGATATTGTTGTCGGATCTGGTAACAGCTGCATTGCATCGACACGGCCAGCCCGCGCACCAATGTAAATCAATCCCTGTGCTAATCCAGTGAAACCATCGCCACACACCGTTTCGAATGATCTAACATCACTGCAGACAAATTGTACTGCTAATTTGGACACTGTGAAGATAAACTTCTGTTGTTGCAATGTTGAGGTAGAATGAAGGAGTCTGGAACCGTCGTTAGCCAAAGCACTGAGAGTTTTATTGATCACAGTACATTAATTACATACGGCCGGGAGATCATCTTAGTTTCACACTGTCCTGTGCTCCACCAAGATAATTTCTGAACCAAAGCCACAAAACATCGCTGCTACACGAGGAGAGGCCGGCCCACAGAAAGCCCGCGTTTACCTAATCAATAGCCGATGGGAGACAATGAACTACTTGTCTCAAGGAAACGCAGACAAGCCTGAAACCTTCCCCCACAGGATATGGGAGAAGCGTTTGACCTGTGACCTCAACTTACAGAGAAGTCTTTGACTGATACCCTAAACACATGTTTGCAGTATCACAGAATCTAAGAAACTCTATAAACAGATCAGATTAAAATATTCTCTTACAGATTCACTCTTTTTATCAATCTATTGATAACCAATTAACATTAGTCTAAGAATATTTCAGTCAATACTTAAAATCAATAAGCGTCTTCAGAGTTGGGTGGGCTCAGATACATTCATTACATTAAAAAGTAGAACAAGATTAAAAACATTTCAATCACCATGATTGAACACAGTCAATCATAATAAAAAATCATCTCTCTTCAGTGCTTGGCATCTTTTGTCAAAAGGCACAATAATAAACACATGGGATACAAAATATTATAGCAAAATATATGTTTCAAAAATAAGATCTTTTATCATTTATCACTCAGTTAATCTCATTCATCAAACACAAATTCTAAATCAGCTTACATCTCAAAGATTTACTTTAAGGCAATTACTTATTAAAAACACAATTAGAATTTAGGATTATAAGAAATCAATTGAGGTATAATTTAGGATTATGAGAAATCCAATTGAGGTATAAATCAGAATCATGAGAGATCCAGCTAAGGTTCCTAGTTTAAGGTATAAATTCACAGTGATGAATCGATCAATCTGTAATCTGTAAAGTTACAGTGTCCTCAATCTTTAACATTACTTTACGTTTACTTCATTACGCTTTATTTAAGAGTAAGGCACTTAGTAATACATTTATTTCATTCAAAAATCAGACATTTTATTTGTATAACAACCTGAAAAGGAAAAAATCAGACATTTGTCCTTTAATCCAGTGTATCAACTGTAATCAATTATCAAAACATCTGTTCTTTATTCAGAATATCAACTTTAAACAACATCTCAATCGCTGAATGGAGGTACCCACGGGTCGGAGATCACGATGGAGACCCAGGGGTCCGGAAGCTCGGCATTGTACATTAATATTGTGTCCTTTACAGTTGAATGTCCAACTAGCCTTTGTGGGGCCTGGAGGGCAGTCTTGGCAACCCTTCGTAGGGCTAATTTAACCACAGTGATCAAACAGATCACTAAGATTAGCACAACCAAGATAAACACTGAAACAGTAACAACAAATTTAACCAGCCCCGCTCCCCAAGATCCAAAAGTTCCACTTAATTCCCCAAATGTAAACCCATGAGTTTCATGCAATTATTTTATTCCCCTGGCAGTATCATGAGCCATGTCCATAACTTCAGGTGTGGCATCAGATATGAAATAACAGCATTCACTTCCTATCACCTTGCATGTTCCTCCTTGGGCCGCTAAGAGGAGGTCAAGCGCCATACGATTCTGTAGTGCTACTGTCCTAACTTCCTGCAATTCTTTGTGTTCAGCTAACATCGCTGTGTTGGATACATTTAGATGATGTTCTACAACTTTAGACAATGCGACAATTTCCTGCTGAGTAACATAAATACCGTACCAAGGCAAGAATAGGCTAGCTATCTGTTGTCCTTGTGTAATAGACCTGCTGTTCCTTTGTAGAGAGGGAAGTATTGCTGCAATCTCAGTAGCCTCTACTTTACGGATTAAAGGGATTAGGTAGGCTAGATAACAGGTACCATAACAAACGTCATATGGCACACAGCCATAGGCCCGGTCCCCACAAACTAAGTAAACTCTCTGTGGGAGGGGAATTCTGGCCAAATTTACTCTCACTATGGTATTACAGTCACTGTGTCCCACATCAGGAGAGGTGTGAGATCCTACTGCATTCTGGAAGCAGATGGACACATTCTTCCATTCATGCACAACAATTGGGGGAACATATACTGAGCAGTCACGTGTAGGGGGCTTGCCTAAGGGTATTGGCTGCGTACAGTCATGTATTTTAACCTCAACGGAGTCCACTGTTCTAGAGCCAAACCAGGGCACAACTGTTACCAAAGCTTCAACTAACAAAGCGGGTGTGTGTGGTTGCATTGTACATGTTGGACTTGTAAAGTTAGCTGAACAATTAGTCTGAGCTAGAGCTAACTGGAATCTATATTCAAAAGCTAGGTTAACGTATTTCTTCATATATATTAGTTTTAGAAACATCAAACGTTTGAAACCGTCAGGCAGGTAATCTTTATTTACTGTATCAACAATGAGAGAGACTAAGCCCTTGTACTGTAAAGGTTTTTCAGAGTCTATGGGGTAGGAAGGAGTATAACAATCCTCAGCCTCATCGCTAATTCTAGATGCTATGTCATTCCAGATTACTAAACCGTAATTCTGGCATATTTTGGCACAACCAACAGTTGCTAACATTACGTTCATGTGCGTAGTCTAACATTAAACTTACTGCAGAATTAGTTTTAGTTTGTTTAAAAGGAGTAATTAAGGCCTTTTTTGAAGAATCTACCTCGCCTCCTGATTGTTTAAGTGGAGTAGATGGAACATTTGTTTTGCTATTTGGTCCAGTAAATGTGCATGCAGTATCACCTAGATTGGGAACGCGGTAATCTGGCTTCCGCACTGTACATTTTACCTCATTCCTTATCAGTGTCTCGAACTGTTCTACCGGGCTACACCACAGTTCTGGGGGCATTTCTTCGATGGTGTTAAGAGCCATCCTTACCCCCTCTGGTGCGAACCTGAACCAAGCGTACTGGCTTTTTGGATATATCTCCCATGTTGGGTAAACTGAGGACACAGGAAACACAATAATACAGTTAGATGAGTCACATATTGAACTTGGGCAGTTAAAGGCAATAGTCTCTGACTTATGATCAGGGAGGGAGACAATCCTCGTTATTCTCCCTCCTTTTCTCTCTCTTTGTGTCTCTTGCACCATACTGAATGTCTGTGTGGTGTTTGGATACAACCTGTCCTTGTCGCTAGGCACTTCTTTGCCCGTTGGTGTTGTTTTGCCCTCAGGGCCTGGACCCTGAGTGGTCAAGTCGTCTGCGCTCTTAGATAAGAGCACCTTATTTTCTCCCTCAGACGGGCGAGGTCCCTCGCCACCTGTCGTTGGGATTTTCACAGCTTCATCTAGCAGGGCGTTCTTGGCCAGGTACAGTAAACCCAGAATGACGATGATGGTGACTGCCTTCACACGCCAGCATCCGGTAGAGGAGAGAGACGACATCTTGAAGCGTGAATCCACTCCGCTCTACCTTGTACTCTCAGGGCTGTTCTGGTCACTATTAATACCTGGAAAGGACCTTTATACCTGGGAGACAAAGAATCTTTTTCAAGCGATTTGATTAGTACATTATCACCAATCTGAAAAGGGTGGGTGGGCTCCTCACCAGGCTGGGGGAGCCTGTCAGCCACCTGCCTGTGAAACTTTCTCAACATGTCAGTTAGATATTTGACATAGTTAGTCATGTAATCCTCTGTCCACAAAAGAGTGAGTCTGTGGGGCATTACTGGAGGACTAGATCCTGTGAACATTGGCCTTCCCATCAATACTTCGTGTGGGCTAAGCCCTGTCGTTGCATTTGGTGAGTTTCTGATTGAGCACAGAACTAGCGGCAGCGCGTCTACCCATTTTAGTCCTGTGGTCAACATTGTTTTAGTGAGTTTTTCCTTTATAGTCAAGTTCATTCTCTCAACCTGGCCTGAGCTCTGTGGATGATAGGGAACATGCAATTGCCATTTGAACCCTAACACTGTAGCTAGACTCTGGGTTATCTTAGAAATGAATGCTGGACCTCTGTCACTGTTAATCCCTGCTGGAACACCAAATCTAGGGACAACATCTTTGAGAAGACACTTTACAACTGTTCTGGCGTCTTCTTTTCTGGTAGGGTAGGCCTCTACCCATTTGGAGAACTGGCACACTATTACCAAAATATATTTGAATCCTTGGCATGGTGGCATGTGCGAAAAGTCAATTTGCATATTTACAAAGGGCCCCGAGGGGGGCGGTAAATGTTCATGCTGAACTGGACCTTTTCTTCTTCTTGTCTGCTGGCATATCATG